AATAAATATCAATGAATTTATTTTATAGTATAATACTAACTTACATAGTATTATAGTATAAACAATTTGAAATTACGCTATTTATAAATATTTAATTCTTAGGTTTAACTTTACAAAAAATATGATAATTTTTAATTATTTACAAATATATATTTTTTCTCTTAATAAATTATAAAATAAAACTTGTTATTAGATTGTCACTGATTGTGCTGAATTATATTTTTCATACCACTTGTTAAATAGAATATCGCATTTTAATGAAAAAAATTAATTTTGCAAGAAAGTAACCAAGGATGTAAGTAAACCGCATTAAAATAAATATATATATTCATAATTCAAAAAATTTAATTTATTATTTATTAATTCACCAATGATCAACATAAATTAAATGCGTTGACAGTAAATAGTTATTGTTTAGTTATTTCACAAGGACCATTATCCATCGTATTATTTGACGTTTGTACATCATCTATTTTACCCTCTAGCACAATGCACATGGTACTTTTAACCTTATTTTTCGTGGTGAGCTTGTTGTTTCTGATGGTCACGTGACTCAATTGCTGTTTAGCGGTCAACATGATCGGATGTGGTCCGGCTATGTTTTCCATCACATTATTTTCGATCGTAACCTTCTCGCTGGCCTTATAGCCAATGTCGGACCACACGGCAGCCAGGTTCAGGTTACCAGGGCCACCAATAATGTGGTTCTCGTGGATTAGTACGTCTCGCACTAAACCGTCTTTCCAGAGGGTGGAGCTCTCGAATCGGATTGGCGCGAAAGTGGCATTGGTGATTTTGACACCACGCGCTTCGTAGCTTATATAAGATTATGTAAAATTAGTGGTTAGTTGGGAAAATATATATCTCTCTCACCAAGGCGGTGTGAATGCAATTGCAGTATCTTATATACAAATAAAATTTCACAATATTATCTACAATATGAACTTATTACATCTGGCAAAAGCTATAAACGTGTCCAGATATACGTGCATATAACTTATTATTAAAACTAGTATAACTTAACCATTATATAGCATTGGCCATATTTAATCAGTTCAGCCCTTAGATATTATTTCAGATTCTAAATCAAATACATTAACAATAGTTAAATTAAAATTAATATTTACTTGATCACACCGCCAATGGTCAACCCTGATGAATGTCCATTAAATGACTCGCAGTCTAACACTTTTATATTTTCATTAATATTCGGTTCATAACCGACACACGAAAACGAGTCGTCGCCCGAGTACTCGACGTAATTGTTTTGCAGAGTGAAGTTCTTGCACCCGGTGATCATGGTAATACCATCGGCGTACGAGGTGAGTATTTTAACATGCTCAATTAGACCGCGAGACACGTTCAGGTTGACGATACCAATGTCGCCCACGTTATGGATGACCACATTCGTAATGTGCAAATCCGTTGAGTGCATGGTGTTTATGCCGGCGGCCTCTATACCGCCGCCCCTTTTCTAAACAAAAATTTGTTTCCCATATAAGTTAGCATGCTTAAATAAATTTTTATGTGTCTTACAAATTTTTAAGAATTATAATTAAAAACTTTTAAAGTTTAGTGATTTTTACTTAACTTATGGATTACAAGTTTTAATGTTTTTTAGTTGTGATACTTTTAACAATTTATAAGACATTTTGATATAAGATTTTTAAAAAGGGTTTCACAATTTCATTGTTTAGCACTGTAAGCAATTATTGTGGGCTTAGCTTTTAAAATCTTAAAACGCGTAATTAAATTTTGAAATTAGATATAAACTAAAATAAATGTGACTCACCTTTGTGTTTGGTGAATTAAGCCTAATGTCCTTGATGGTAAGCTTAGTAGCATACTCAACCACAATGGCCGAGTTTAATGGGTCCAGTCCGTCCAGTTTGCTTGAATCTGGTCCATGACCAAAAATGGTAAGGTCATTTTTGTGTTTCACGTGTAGGGCCTTTATATGGATGCACGTTTTATCAGCTGGAAATTCAACAGAATCCCCAGTAGCAGCTTGGTCAAAGGCCTTTTGAATGGCATCGGTATCATCATTGTGTCCATCGCATTTTGCACCAGTTGATGTCACCTGGATCACTTTGCTACTTGCAAAATGAATGGATAAACATATTATTAAAGCGATTTGAATGAGCATTTTGTATTTTGCTTTGTACAAAAATAATGAACAAAACTTTATATATATATATATTGTTTTTATTATCCTTTTATATACAATATTTTGGTCGTGAACTAGACAGCTGGATCGATTAAAATAGAAACAATTTTAGTTTTACGGATGTACTCGGTCGAAAAGTACGGATGTACTGTATCTGGTTTATTTATTTATTAGAATTATCTCGTTTGTTTTTGCAATAACTATTATATCCAACTACCGATTGTTAAAATATCTTTGACAATCTCTGTTACTAATTGTGAACATTGCACGAATACAATGTATCTGTGGTTTTTAAACAAATTCAGGATTATCGATGAGTTGCGAGTCGAAAGCTTTTTAAAATAAGCTTATATTTTATATTTTACACGTAAGCAATAGAAAAAATTTCGACTCACAATTCATCGATAATCCGGAATTTGTTTTAAAAAGACAGATATATAGTATAATCACATACATCTTGATGCTAACAATTTATATTTTTCATTGCATGTATGAAATAATATATAAACATACTTAATATGGTGCCAACCTTATAGTGAAAATTATAAAAACGGTTTGATAATATATTAATTATATTAATAAACTATTCATGGCCATACGCATTGTAAATTTATTATGCACAAGATTAATGTTTAGTAATCAAGAATATTAATGTTTATATAATATTCTGCTTTCTATTTAATTACTTATTACATTAAATTAATATTAGAATCGGCCGAGTAGTTACCCCAGTATATGAAAAATGAAATATGCAAGCTGAAACAAGACTTAAAAGTAAAATCTTGATTATTGAAGTGTTGTGGAAATTATAGTGTTTATTGTGAATTATTAATTATTATTTAAAAGTTATAGTGAACGAAATTTTTTTATCACCCGGATCACATTGAACTATATAAAGACATAGCTTACTATATTGTTGCACAAGTCAGCTATTATTCAAATGAATACTATTGTGTACAGAATATTCTGTATTATATTTCATAAGATATAACAAATACATAATAAATACAAATATATAATAAATACAAATATATAATAAATATAAATATATAATAAATACAAATATATAATAAATACAAATATATAATAATAATGATTCTACTTATACAGTACTCTGGTATTTCATAATAATATTCTTTATTATTGATATACAATGTTTTATAAAGATATTTTGTAACATAAATCATAAATATTTAGTGATTTCACAATAATATTTTGTCTTAAATTCATTTGTTTGATTTTATTTTATAAGTTTGTTTGTATTAATATTGAAATTAATATTTTAAATAATTCTTTATTTTTTATTTAATAAACTTTTTTACTTTTTATAATAAAATAACAAATAATATATGATTTTAAGAAATTTTTAACTTTATTTGTTTATCATACAAAGTGTAATCATATTAATGTCATAAAAATTATAGTGTTTATTTACAAAATAAATATTACATACTTAAATAGATTAAATATGTAAATTATTTAAAGCCATATTTAATTTAAAATTTTAAAAATAATTTTTAATACTGAAATATAATTTTATAACATATTAATACTAATATTCTGTTTCCACTTGTTCATTTTACATAATATTTTTACCTCAGCCCTAGACTTACAATACAATACCATTTCAATGCTAAATACAATCAATAGTATCACACAAATACACATTACAAATACAATCAATAAATTCATATTATTGACCATCAACAAATAATATAAGTACAACAAGTTTATCAAACAAAAAAGCAATATGTACATATGAGTGAACCATTTAACAATTAATATATTTGTTATAAATATATTTTGTTGAAAATTTTTCAAACATTTTTGAATTTCATATAAATATTCATTTCCGGGCGGTTTCGCTATACGATCCATACGTTTACATAGGGTTTGCAATATTGTTGTGTATTTAGTGTACAATTCATAATATATTGCAAACATTAGTAAATACCAGCCATTAGTATACACACAGACTATGCAACTGCTGTAATATAGTCTTAAATTTATAAATATTTGTAGTGAAGTATTATTTGAAAATTTATCACTTAATATAACATAAATTTTTATGAACCCAGTTATAACATAAAATATTAAATAAATATAATTTATTTTATTACTATTTTTAAGATTATATTTCACGTAATATTCATTCAAATCGTCATTTAATTCAGTAAAATATTGTGAATTATATCTAACGTACAAATAAGATGATAGAGATATTATGTAATATATTAGACACAACACCTTGCACACAATTTGAATGTAATTATCTGTTGATTCAAATGAGATCACAAAAAATATAATCAGGGTAGAGAATACTGTCAGCAAAATACCGGTGAATATGTGTTTCAAAAATACGTATTTATTGTCACATCCGTACAAAATAAATAAAAACTTAAACATGGTTAACTAAAAATTATTACAGTATTCATAGAATATTCTTATGAAGTATTAATAAAATATATATTATAGGATATTCTTGTGAACACAATCAAGAATATTCTTATGACATATGTTACGGAATATTATGTTGAAATACAAGTTTAAATATTATTGTGTAACAAGGATATATTTACGATATTTCTAGCTTATGTAATATAATACAGAATATTCTTGCATTACAGTCAATAGAATTCATTAGTATAAGAGCTTCGGCTGTAAATAATGTTTAATCTACAAAATAAGTAAATATTCAAACATGGTTACATGATATTAAGATTGTCACGAAATAATATTATAAAATTATATAACAGAATATTCCTTTAAGGAATGAATTTAAGATAACATAACATAAAGTATTTATGACATATAAACTAACACTGCATATTTTTATATTGTGTTATATAATATTGTACATCCTTAGAAAACATGATATCAATACTTATTACAATAAAAGTCTAACATTTATGACAATAATAGCAAACAAACAATAAAACTTTATTCAGTACTCAGTATAAATGTTGGGTTATAATGGAAATTTATTCACATAAGCCAGTACATATCATTAATACAGTATAATAAATAATAATTTATTATTCACGTAAGTCTTACAACATAATTATATAGTCTGCCCAAGTTCAAGTGTACCGTCATATTGCAGGTTTCACATACCGGAGCCCATATTTCTATTGACACTAATATTGATTTTATATAATTGAATAGAAGGCAACATTTTCTTACATAGGATTCCTAATGAATACAAAATATTTTAAAATGTTGTGCATAAAGTAGCTCGCAATGAATGGGATTCATTAATCAATAGCCTTGAGCATACTTTTTTAAATTGCATATTTTTAGTGTAAAGTATTTTCATAGATTTTGTGATTTTTTAGTTTATTTGAGATTTGATTAAACAAATAGAGATTTATTTTAAAATGTTTTGAACATAAGAATTCAATTATAATAAGCATTTATTATGTAAACACATATGGCGTTAACAGTAAACGTATTTACTATTTTAAAATATATAAGTTTTATAAATTTTATTATCATATACAGTAATAGTTTAGTTAGTAAATTAATAATAAAATATTATAATTGTATTATTAGTTTATAATTTTACTTGCCAGTAATAATGAGTTAAATCAAGTGGGTCAAATTATTTGTATAAAACTAATTTGAAGTATGTATTATATGTGTCCATGTAAAGGTTTTTGCTAAATAGCGTTTACTGTATATAAAATTTTTATTAAACTTTTATCGAACTTTTATAATGAATTTTAATGAAAAGTTTTATAAAAGTTTAATAAAAGTATGATAGAAGTTTAATAAATATTTTATATACAGTAAACGCTATTTAGTAAAAATCTTTCCATGGTTTTAGGTTTACACTAGAAATTGAAATGTTTCATTGGCTTCACTCCCACTCCCGCACACTCCCTCAGAAAATCCTTTACGGGAATCCCATTCCCGCACATTAGGTTTGGCTGGACTCCCGATCCCTCCCTCGGGACCCTCATCACTCCCGCACATACCGAGTACAGTCCCTGTACTAAAAGCTATAACACATACATTCAGTGCTTTGCTATGTAGCGTAAGACTATGACTATATAATGCTTATCTATATAATGCGAACACTATGCAAAGGCAATGAGAGTGCTATATAACGCGGGAGTAAGAGAAAACTCACAGTAACGCATAGCATAGAGCCATACACTTGTTTGTGCTAATGCGGGAGTCAGTGCGGGACCTCACTCCCGAACTTGCTTTGCGGGATTCCCACTCCCGCCCTCGGGAGCAGGTCCCGCGTAAAATCCCACTCCCGCGGGACCATTTCTTCTCTGATTAGTTTACACATTTATATTTAAAAAGTTGATTTTACAATTTTATTAAAACTTTGGCTTATTTATTATAAATATAACTCCAAGAATTAAACTAAAACTAAACTAAATCAAAATCAAATACCAATAGATACATAAAAGCTAATACATTTTTCCAAAAAATATTTAGCGACATAATAAACGTAAATAAACGCTTTAATCTTATTGAGTCCACGATTCATAAACATGAAGTTTATTTCATACTAGTCAATTAATAGAAAGTAAAAGGCTTTATAAATAGTTGATGTATCTGGAAAACTTATTCAACTGAAAATGCAATTTCAACATCATACGGTAAATGGATTAGATCTATATCATAGTGAATGTAAAGATTTATACCTTGAAAACAGAAATTAAATTGGCTTTCTCAGAATTAGTGCCTTTATATACCAAATATATTTAAAATAAAAATTACTTATAAAGCAATATTAGGCTTTTGTTAATAAAACTTCATTTTGAGTCAATCGCGATATATGGATGTGTGTAATGCATGCAGACTGTATTTAATGTATTAAGCAGCTTTTTTATATTACCAGCATTGATATTAATAAGAAATTAAACAAATAACATAACATTTAATTTAAAATTCAATTCAATTATTATAAACTCCTAATAAATTATTATATTAAATGTAGTTAAATTATTTAAATTAAAAAACTTAATTAAATAGAATATTATAAC